GCTCAGCAGTTAGAAGCACTGGCTGCTCTTGTAGAGGCCCTCTTCTAGCCTCTGTAGGTACCAGGCATGCACATAGTGCGCAGACATACATGCAGGAAGGAAAGCATACATATAAACTAATAACTAAAAATCACATTCTATGAAGAAGGAGAAAGGGAAGTTTTGCTTCAAGAAATGAATAGAGGGCTGGAGGGATGGCGCAGCAGTTAAGAGTGCTTACTGCTTTTGGAAGGACCTGCATTTCCCCGGCACCTAGACGGTGGCTCAAAACCTTCTGACCTCCGCGGACACTTGCACACATGCTGGACGGACACATAACACTAAACAAATAAATATATTTTTAAAAGAAACAAAAGACAGACTATTAATAACTACTTCCCAGTGTCTAAAGGTCTGTCATGGACAGAATCACCTGGCTGCACTTCCCACTCGTCACCCTCTTCTGAAGGCAGAATGCACATCAGTTTCAATTCCAAAAAAAACTCTCTGCAGGGCTGGCAAGATGGTTCAGTGGGTAGAGGCACTTTCAAGCAAGCCTGATGACCTGAGTTCAATCCCCAGATCCTACAATGTAGGAGAGAACCAATTCTCAAGAGTTGTCCTTTAGCTGGGTGGTGGTGCACGCCTTTAATCCCAGCACTTGGGAGGCAGAGGCGGGCGGATCTCTGGGAGTTCAAGGCCAGCCAGGTCTACAGAGCGGGTTCCAGGACAGCCAGGACTACACAAAGAAACCTTGTCTTGAAAAAAACCAAAAATCAATAAACAAGCAAACATAAATGACCTCCACATGTATGTCATGTTACATGCATGCCTATGTGTATTTGCACAGACACACAGGCACTCACAAAATAAAGAGGCAAAATATTTTTTTTTGCTCTACAGTTTGATTACACCAGGAGTGTGGGGGATAGAACAGTGGGATGACCATGAGCTGAGCGTGCAGAAGATGGGGTTCCCAAATTGCCCAGAGGCTCTTTAAGCCCATTGGTGGCTTTGTGAACTCTATGACTCCTCCTCTCCATGAGCAACCTCCCCAGCAGCCTGGCACAGGCACCAGAGCTCCAGCAGGAGCACAGCTAAGCAGAGGGCCGACCTGAACCAGAGCTGTCTGGAACCCCAGCTACCTCACTGTGATAAGGACATTCACCAAGGATAGATATAAAAACTCTTGTTTCAAGGCATAAAGGACCAGGAGCTCAGGCACCAGAATTTCAGCTTTGAACACGCTCTCTCTCCAGTGGGAAATTCCGAAGCCACACAACTGAGCAGCTGAAGCACCGCCAGGCAGAGCCACACTGGCCCACAGTTGGGCTTTGCTCACTTTGCTATATTCTTTTTCTGCCATGACCAGCTTGGCAGTTTTCAAGTGTTTTATTTGTTTCCTTTTAGTTTTATGTATACGTGTGCCGTGTGTGCAAGTGCCAGTGGAGGCCAGAGCAGGGCATTGGAGCCCCTGGAGCTGGAGTGGCAGAAGCTTGTGAGCCATAGGGTATGAGTGCTGGAACAGAACTCTGGTTTTCTGAAGGAGCAGCAGGCACTCAGCCCCCGAGTCTTCACTCCAGCCCAAGTGTGCTACCTTTTAACCACCAATTTCACCACTCACTCTACAACAGGCAAAGCACAGAACCACGTGACAAGTGTGAGCTCCCAGCTCTGCTCCGTTCCCCTCACCAGCTCCTCACACCCGCAGCCAGTGCACGTGTACACAGTCCCCGGATTGCCGCATCCAGGCCAATAGGAGCAGTGACGTTCAGAACAGCTGGCAATACCTGTCCGTTCCCCCAATTCTTGAGCAGCATTCCCCAGACTAGCCAGTTACACACCCTGCTGAGAGGAGCACATGGAGGCGGTGGGGGTGGGGGCTGGAGTAAGCCCAAAGTGACACACGACAATTTTCTTGAAGCTGCAAACCTTGTTTTTAAATTCTGTTACTTAAGGGCCCACGGGACGGCTCAGTAAGTGAAGGCTTGCTGTCAAGTCTGCCCACCTGAGTTTGAATCCCAGAACTGACACGGTGGACAGAGAGCTGACTCCTGAAAGCTGGCCTCTCACCTTCACTCGTGTGTGTGTGTGTGTGTGTGTGTGTGTGTGTGTGTGTGTGTGTGCGCATAAATAAAAAAATGACATTTACTACTTGATCTATTACTCCATAATGTAAGCACCTACTCACCTACTTATTTTCTGGGTGCTGGGATGGAACCTGTAACCTCACACACAAGGCAAGCTCTGATGGAGCCTGGGACCTTGTACACATGAAGTAAGCTCTCTAGCACCAAACTATAGCTCCAGTTCTGGGTTTCTAAGACAAGTTCAGGCTGGCCTTGAACTCCTCCTCTACCTGCCTCCCCATCCCTTAGTGCAAGGATTAGAGCTGAGCCAGGGTGAGCTTCATTTCCTACAAACGGAGAGCTAACAGAAGAGTCAGAGTTGGGGGCTGTCTGGAGCTGACATTATGCACACAGAAGCAGGCCTCACGCATAGGACAGTGGGTCTATGAGGGCCTTTTACACAACAGATGCACAGTGAAAAGTCAGCCCCTGGACCCTGTGGTACACAGGGAATGAAGAAGGGCCTCAGTTCCTGACTCCTTTCAGGGCTTGATGAATCAATTCCCTGTGCCTGGAGTCTTCTTCATCACACACACACACACACACACACACACACACACACACACACACACTCAGTTCACTTCGGCGCTCCCCCACTCTGTACCCACCCAATCACCACATCCTGAACTGAATGCTGCCTGGCTTTCCTTTTAGCCTGTCCCTTCTCTGTGCCCACTTACCGGCCACACAGATGTCAAAGTAGTCGCCAAACTCGTTCCGGATGTGCTTCACCAGGTCTGTGGCACAGCTGAAGCCTCCTTCCTCTGTTTCCCAGTGGTCACCTACAGGGTCTGTAGGGTTGCTGGAGGTCATGGTCACGGGGTGTCCCCTGACCTCCAGAGAGTCTTCTTGTTCCCTCTACCTACTCCTACACTTGGCTGTGGGCTCCTCAAAGGCAGAGACTTCCTACTGTGCACGTCTAGTCTGCCACCTGGCAAACAGGAGGTGGAGGGCAGTGGTCAGCTGTCAAAGTCTACCATGGCTGACTCTGCAGGCCCTGCTGTGGGCGGTGAGACCAGGGAAGGTGTGGCTTTCTACTGAGCCTGGAGTTTTGGGGACTCTGTCCTGGCCCTGATACCCTGGGTGTGCTCAGGCACCCTCTCCCACCCCTCTGTTCTCGCAGAGCTCCTGAATTCTTGGTAGATTTTCTACTCATGAGGAGTCCTGTGGTGAGCAGACCCCTCAGGCTCCCACTTCCCATTGCTGTGAGGCCTAAAGACAGGAGGCACCCGGGGGCTCCTGGGAAATGCCAGCACAGCACACTATGGCTAGACCAGACAGTGCCAGAGTCTGGTGGCACTGTGTAATGGGGGCAGAGGGTTAGCAGGCACCAGCCACATCCCAACTGAACTGCATTCAGGTCAAGAGGTGGAAGAGGCCACCCCACTTGTGTGAAGGCCATGGTGGACCCAATACCCACAATGCTCACTGATCCTCCTGCAGCAAGGGGACCCCGAACGGGTTTAGTGTGGGGCCCAGGGAAAGTAAGAGACTTTTCTGGGGAGAGGAGAAGCCTTCAGAAAAGCAAGAACCCGGGAAGGAGGGGTGCTGGCGCCACACCTCCCCTCAGCGCCATTATGTTCTTCAGGCCAAGCTGCCTGGCTCTGTGCAGATGGCCTGTAATCTCCTCCTGGCGCTGCTGGCAGCAGGTCATGTGCAGGATGGTTTCCAAGCCACAGTAGTTGACTGCTGTGCTGGCAATCATCATGGAGGAGGTCTCCTTGTCTGAGCCAGGGTCTCCAGCTGGGTGCCAGGTAACATCCACGAAGAGGGGGCCCCCTGCTGCCATCCGGTCAAACCTGTAGGGGATTTCTTTCTTAAGTTTGGGCTCCTGGGGGAACAGTGTGCTCACTCAGCCTCCGGGCAGGGAGAAGGGGATGTGAGGAGGGGGAGGGGAGGGAGCCGGAGCAGCACAGAATGCAAGCTGGTGTCAGAGCACCGAGCTTCCTTCCCAGGCACGTCACCTAATAACCTCTCTGAGCCACAGTGTCTTTGTGTATAAGATGTGGCAGATAACGGCACCTACTCCACACTGACTGGGTCAGATGACTGTGCAGCACTCAAAGTCGAGCCTGAGCTCAGGGAGAGCCACTCGACTACTGACTGGTGGACAACAATGTCGCCATTTTGTGTGACCAGCACGTCATGCTTCTCAGAGTGCGAGCACACTCACTGGTTTTGGGTGAGTTTAGAGTCTTGACAGCTGAGAGTTTGGGATCTCAGCAGTGGCAGGCAGAGGGTCTCACTTTAGGAAAGCCAGAGAGAGCGATTAGCAGACACAAGCTTCTCTTGTACTGCCACCACGGCCCCCTTGCATCAGCCTGCAGAGCAAGGCTGGGTTCCTGAACTAGATTCAAAAGTCTTCACATGTTAAAGCTATAAGGGTGTGTCTAAGCATCCTAGGCCTTGAAATTTCTGAACCTAGGGAGCAGCACATAGCAAGTATGAACTAGAAGGCATCAACTTTTGTGGTTGTTTTTGAGACAGGGTCTCATGTAGCCCAGACT